GCGTGTTCAGAACACTGATGTCGTTACCGACAGCGATCCACTCATCGGAAAACCATAGTATCAACACAAAACTATTCTACATGAAATTCTCAACAATCCTTATTTAGTACATTCTTTATGAACATCATAGCCACCCTAAAATCAAATTTTAAAAAAACAGTAAAATAGTGCGCGGTGTCCCCCCTTAAACTAAATTTTGTTGCCATTGCAAAGGCTGTTGCACTTAAAAATTAAAATTACAAATTGTAAAATTTTTATATTTGAAATGTAATGCTTTTTTAAAAGAACGTTTACAGAATGTCAATATTGAGATTTATTTTCAAACACAAACAAAACTTGTGAAATAAAAATGAACAATTTAAACTAAAACAAAATTTAAAAAGTCAATAATATTGTTAAATGGAAAGTCGTTGACGTTTGAATGGTAACTATTTGTTAATGTTATTGTAAAATTTTAAAAATATAAAAAGTTTAAGTGAACATTAATCAAAAAACAAATCACGCACTAGTTTGTAAAAATTTCGGCTAATATTGTCTTAACTTTGAGTATTTTTATTACAAATTCAACAAAAAAATTATAAACAAAAAAAGTAGAATTACAAAAATTAATAAAAAATTATACAATAATTAAAACAATAAACTTAAACCTTCTGTTTTAAATTTTTAAAATTTTTTTATTTTTATGTTATCTTTATAGTTAAGATAATAATAAAATTGTCAAAAAATAAAACTTTTTTAAAAATGAGCAAATGACAAATTGAACGAATGATGATGAAAGTCGAAGAGTTAAGAGTTAAAATAACAAAAAAGAAAAAGCAACTGAATGAAAGGAAAACGAAATGACGCGGCGACAAGTAAAAGAACTCAGCAGGCGTACAAAGTGAGACAGTTGACCGAGACAAATTGTGCTGTGCCCGAATACTAAAAGAAAACACGAGGGTAAAGTTAAGTGTGCCAAAATATTTGAAGTTGAACAGTTTAGAGTGCACAGAATGAACAAACAAAAATCTATTGGGTGTACCTAAATCTACATTTAAGTTGTTGCATTTTTACAAAATTTTAAAAAATATTTAAAATCACAGAAAAATTTAGAGTAAAATGATACATTTTTTGGTTAGTAATTGATTTAATAAAACATAATATTTAGAAAACCTGTAAACAAATAAACTATTTTGATAAAACTTTTGTGATTGAAATCAATTGTGTTAAAATATTTGCTACTAAGCTCAACTTACAAGCATAACTTATTTTTGCATTGTTTAGCGTGATAAAAAATCGATTCACACGCAAACTAACGCAGATTGCATCTTGCAACAAAAACGGCATCGTTTCAAATCCTTTCTTTACTAAGTTTGAAACCAATCAATAAAATGCGGAACAGGAAACTGTTATGCGCACAAATTTACTATTTTTTTTAAAAATCTGAAAATTAAAACAGTTTCATAAAAAAATTTAAGTAATTAAACAATTTTTTTTATTAAAATAATATATTTTTAAAAATATATATCTGTTTAAATAGCATAAAAAGTAACAAAAATATTTTTTTTGTAAATTATTAAAACTTAGTTATTGCATAACCAAATTAAGTTTGCAAAAACTCTAAAAAAATTTGTTTGTTTATTACTTTTTTATCATCATTAAAATTATTCACATTTTAAATAAAATTAACATAGAAATGAGTTAGTTTGTTGATTTTGATTGAGTGACAACATTTTTGTCTTTTTTGTTTGGCTGTTAAACTGAAATAAAATCTATTGAGTATTTAGACCGGTTTTTTTAAATAACTGACTACTTTAAATATCAATCATTGAGAATTCAAGAAGATAATAAACGAACGTTTTTGATGTGTGTAGCAGTTCGAGGCAATGACATACTGTTTGGCACTGTCAATGTGTTTGCTGATGGATTTTCAATCCGTCGGTCAGAACAAACTGCACAAAACGCTCATTTTAACGGCCATTCACAAACATAGCAAGACCATTGTTGAAGCTGAAACTGTCAACAACGAGAGAGCCTTTGCATCTATTTCCAATTAGCCCGTTCACAACGACAGTTCAGTAATTCAAAACCGATTTCCAGTTTCGATGAACTTTGAGTGACGTGCTCATTTTTCACTACAAGCGACAAACGGTACTGGTTTTTAGAAAAAAAAGAAAGGTTGATTGCAACAGCTATGTTTACCCATGACAGCATTTAGCGCTGAAAGTACCAGACAGTGATTGCTAGCCTTGGTACTCACATTTCACAATGCATTGAGACCAACTGTTTTCCAAACGATAACTCAATTCATGAGCAATCACACAGCAACGCTTACAGTTGATGCCAGCTATTCAACGTCGTTTTGGTGGCATTGTAATTTGAGTATTGTGCAAATAAAATTTGCATTTTTACAATCGCAAACCAGTATTTTCTTACCATTAAATGGATCAGGTTTATACAGTTCGGACACAATCAATTAATACTCAGGTTGATCGTTCACTTTTAGCAACATTCTACTAAAACGTATTCTATTTTTACTAAATGAGTTTATATAGCATAAAACTAAAAATGATATATTTAAAGAAAAATAGCAAGTCAAATGCACTGTATAAAATAGCAACAAGTGGTATCATTTCATATGTAGTGAAAATGTGTTAAAATTATTGTGTAATAGACAACTGTTTATATTTTAGTTTTAAAAATTATCAAGCTAATTTTTAAGTTTGTAGTCTTGCTTAGTCTTGTTTTACAAACACTTTTAAGTGTAGTGTGTTTTGAATTAATAAAATATTGACAACTTTTATATAAATAACTCTATTTTTAAAACCCTGTTAATTTTATTTTTGTGTTGTGTTAATTGCATTATTAATTTAGTAAATTTTTATTATGATATTTTGGTAAACTTTATGTAATATAAATCAGTGACATTTCAACAGTAAAATTGTATAGTAAAACTCTAAGTTAAAGTTAAAAATTGTTATTTTTAAGCAATAACAAAATTTAAAAGTGTCATAAATTATATTTATTTTTTAAGTTTTATTTTAACTTTTTAAATTGACATAAATATATTACTTATCAGTTATATAATTTAATATATTTTATTGCCATTGAGAAGTTCATGTAATTAAATTTGAGTATTTTATTGAAAGTTTTATAAAAAAAATTAAGTAAAAAGTCAAAAGTTAATTTTCTTTTTGAACATATCAAAACAAAAAATGAGTTTTACTTTGTTTTTAGTGACAATGTAATTTTAAATTAATTTTGACATTTGCCATTAATATAACCGAAATAATAGTAAAGTTGTTGAATGACAGAAAACAATAGCAAAAACAATAATCATTGACAAAAAATGAAAATTTTAAATGTTTACACTTAACAATAAACGACAGATTTGAACTGAAATAGAAATAATCAGTGCGACATTGTTGCAATGGAAAAAAACAATGATTGATCTATTGATAATGAAAATGTTGCCAATTGATAAACATCAATTCATTCACTTTCATTGGTTTTAGCAATATTTGAATTTATAGTTAACATTAACCAGCCTGTCAACTTAAGTTAGGTCACGCATAAACTATCAATTTAACAAATTAAAAATGGTATTGTGTCAAAATCTACGTGCATTTTTAACATTTAAAATTTTTTAATATTTACTTTTTATTTTCTGGAAACACAAAAACTAACCTTAATAAAAAATGTTGTATTTAAAGTTTAACAATTATTTTTTTTAATTGCAGATAATTACGACCTTAAAATGCCTGAAATTTTTTTGCAACTATAGCAAAACAATGCTCCAATAACTTTGCCATTTACAACAATAAAAATCAAAAATGAAGCATTTATTTATTACATAACTAAACTGAAAATAAATTAACTTGAATGCAGCTTCCAAAGATTCACTCAGCTGTTGCTGCATCCTCAAAATGCTACAACCACCAGCAACGGCAGCTTTAGCTGCTGGGGCAGGTTTGGGGTTGCCAGGGCCTGGAGGTGGTTCTAGGCCAAATGGAGCAGCACAAACACCGCAAAATGCAGTCATACTGCAAGCTGCTGCTCTGGCTAGTGCAGAAAGAGGACCGCCTCATCCACCACCAAGGCAAAATGGATCATCCTTAACTGTGGCCAAAATTCCAAAACTTCCTGAAAATGGAGGTAATGCTTCATCACCTCAAATTCCAAATGCGCCAGTTACAACTCCAGTGCCTGGCAGAAAGCCTTCGGCAACTCAACAAGGGGCTAATGTTATTGCTAATCCAAACGCCCACCTTCCTCCGCCTTACAATTTGCCGCCAGTTGCACAACAACAGCTTGAAAAAAAGCCTCGTATGGTTCGCAAAATCGTGAAAGCTCCTGAAAAAGCAGAACGGGTTTTATATTGTTTAAACCTTAAAAACCCACTTCGTCGATTATGCATCAGCATTGTTGAATGGAAATATCCTTTTCGCATATTTTATTTTTAGTTTTAAGATATTTAAATAGTTAGTGCAAATTAAATTGAAAATAAAAAACTAAAATAACCAAAATTTTTAATTTTTTTAAAAATAGGTCATTAGATGAAAATAAGTTTTAATTAATCTAAATCTAAACCAGTTAAAATTAGTTAAAAATTTGTTAAAAAACAAATCTCAAAACAAAACATTGAAAAGAACAATTACAGATCAAATTCAATTAAATAAACCAAATTTAATAAAGCATCTACTAAAAATGCTAAAATTGCAAAAATTTTAAATAGTAAAATTGATAACTAATTTTAAATGAAAACAAACAGACAAAAAACAAACAAATTTTAAAAACTTTAAAATTAGTTTAAAAACTCAAATTGAAAATTAAGTACCTTTTTTAATTTTTTTGGCAAAATCTTTCTAATCATACCCCACATGCAAAATTTAATCCTTGCGCAAAGACTTTAAAAATAGAGTCAAAGTTGTGTTTTTAGTTGTACAAAAGAAACTTTTCAAAAAACTTTAGAATGTTACGGAAAAAATTATTTGTTTAATTAAAAGCACGATTTTGACGCCATTTTTAAAGTTTTTGCGCACAGTTTTGATTTTACATGTAGGGCATTGTCAAAAATAATTTGACAAAAAAATGTATTTAATTTTTGGCCAAATTTCAAGTCAATTTTGCGGTTACTTTGAAAACAATTTTTTAATTTTAAAAAAATTATAACAAGTTGTTTTACAAACAATTTGATTGCAATATAATGTTATTTTATTAAAAATATTTAAAACTAGGAACAAAATTATTTATTTGCGGTTAGCAAAAACATTGCAGTGAAGTACAACAACATCTTTAAACAATTTTATTTTTATAAATATTTCCTTAACTTTTTTTTACGCCTTTTGAATGGCTAATCTTAACAACCATCTGCTTGAACTGCATAGCGTTAGGCGTGTACACGCCTTATCCGGCTGGGGATTCAAATGACACCAACCAAGTTTTAGTAAGTTTTTTAAAATAAATTATTTTTTAAAAACAACTTGTTTAAAAACATAACCCATAACTTTTTAACCTGTTGCTTTTTAAAATTGTAGGAAAAAATTGAATATTTTTTTCTAGTAGTGTTTACGTTGGAATGTTTTATGAAAATCATTGCCTATGGATTTTTTTCTCATCAAAGTGGTTATTTAAGAAGCGCTTGGAACTTGCTTGACTTTATCATTGTTGTCATTGGGTAATAAAAAATAATCAAACATTAATTCTTTATTTGTAATTTTTATTGTTTTTGCAGATTAATCAGTTTAGTTTTGCAAACAATGTCAAATGAAAATATTGATGTAAAAGCACTGCGAGCTTTCCGTGTACTTCGTCCACTCAGATTGGTTTCCGGAGTACCAAGTAAGTAAATATTTAAAAACACTTTATAAATTTTTAAGTTATTTTAAAAATATTTTTCAATTTAAAAATTTATTTAATTTTAAGTTTTAAAACGTTTATTTTAAAAAACTATTGTTTTATGCAATAAACTAGTCTAAAGGCATAAACAAAAACAAACCTGCTTAAATAAAAGAAAACATTTTGCATACGGTTAAGTTAATCTTATTCAAATTAGACGGACAGTCTTGATCTGAACTGTATAAAAAAATAAAAATTGTTTCAATATAAAAGTATAGACTTGAAATTGAATAATTTAAAAATGCATAAAACAAAAGTCAAAACTTGTCATTTTGATATATTTTATATTTTTGTTTTAAAAACTTTTTAATAATTTTAAGTTTTTAAGTTCCCAAAATGCAAAAAAAATTGAATAACAACACTCGTGCACTACAATTGAAAAATAAAAATTGTGTTTTATTTGAGTCTAACTTAAAAAATTTATATTGTTAAAAATTTTTTAACATTTTTTTAAAATAATGTTATATTAAAAAATAACAATCAGTTTGTTTTGAACAATTAGGTTAACTTAATGCAAAATCACAGCAAATGTTTAGCAAGATTGCAAAGATTACATTTAAAAATGCTTAAATATTGATTAATCGATTGTTATTCTAAATAAGATCAATAAATATAAAACTAAAAATGAATGAATTTTATAACAAAAATTGTTTAAAATAAAAACTTATCAACTTGGGTAATGATGAGTGAAGACAAAATTGCTGTCGACAATAACAATTTCAATTTAATACATATGACAACAACTATCATGTAATAAATACAAAAATTCTGAATATAGTTTAAATTATTCATGTTTTAAAATTTTGAAATATTGAAACGAGATACATTATGACAAGTCTTTGATAATTCTCGTAAAAAGAAAAGTTGAAAAAATTATTTGCAAATTTAAATTGCTTCATTTTTTAAAATGCATTTATACAAGATGTTATTTGGGCTATCTGACAGATGAGTGGGTGATTTGACAATTTTCATTATCGATACTATTACAAATAAAACATATCAATAAAATGTTTTACATAATAAAATTGCATTTTGAATTTTTTTTAATACAACTGACAAGTGTGGTTGCTTTTAAAAAATATTTTTACAACAAGTTAATAACTATTTTTTCATTTGTTTCATAGGTTTGCAAGTTGTGCTCAACTCGATTATTAAAGCCATGGTGCCTCTTTTGCACATCGCCCTACTTGTGATATTTGTCATCGTGATTTACGCCATTATTGGACTTGAGCTATTTGTTGGGCGAATGCATCGAACTTGTTACCACAATATTACAGGTAATTTTTTATTTGTATAAATTTACAAAAAACTATCAAGTTAATTTGTAAAAATTGAAAATAATAAAACTGATTTTGTATTTTTTAAATTATGGCGCTTTTAAATAGTTAAAATTAAAAATAGTGCAAATAAAACTTTTAGTTAAAAATAAAGATTTAAATAGATTCTTTGTACTTATATCAGTTGCAAATCCTTGACAAAAAACAATGATTGAAAATGTATGCGACAAGTCGGTGAATCGTAAGGAGTGCAAAGTCAATCTNGTTTAAAAGTGCCAAATTAAAGCTAAAAGCCTAATCTTGAGATTGGCAGGACCAGATTTTTAAATTTTATCTTTTTTTCTTATTTAAAAAATTTTTGAAAATTATAAAATTGTCATTTTTGTGTTTTTTATCTGAAATCTTGAATTAAAAATCAGCGACAGAAAACCGGGACCACTTAAAATTAATATAGCCCTGCCAATCTTTAGTTTTAGTTGTCATCTTTCATTTGGCACCTTCAATTTAGCCATGCCACCTTCCTATGATACCGATCTGGTTACCGTTTTAGTCAGAAAATTGGTGTCGTTACCGACAGCAACCCAGTCATCGTAGAGCCAAGCTATCAACACAAAACTGTTCTACATGGTAGTCTTAGCAATTCGTATTAAGTACATGTTTCCTGAACATCATAGCCACCCCAAAATCAAAGTTCCAAAAAGCAGTCAAAAAGTGCGCGGTGTCCCCCCTTAAATAGATTCTTTGTACTTATATCAGTTGCAAATCCTTGACAAAAAACAATGATTGAAAATGTATGCGACAAGTCGGTGAATCGTAAGGAGTGCAAAGTCAATCTGTAGTAGAATGACAACACAATAAGGCATATCTGGCCATTACATCTTTTCTCATTTTCCAAACATGAACTGATTTACTTAACTCAACTGTTTTCTTTTAATAACAATAAATCACACATCGACAAGCCCATACGGCTAGCTCATCTATCGAATGCAGGGATCATGATCTGAACGATGATTGATTATATTTCAGAGATATCTACTGTCACTTCAAACTTTTGTCAATTTACAAATCAAAATTAGTAAAAAATAATATTGTATTATCTTTTTAAACTTGTTCAAAGTAATTGATTTTAAAAGTTTTTTAAAAATATAAAAATACACACCCATTTAATATTGTTTTATTTTGCAAAAGAGGTAAAACAATTGAATATTTTAAAAAATATTTCAACATTAGTAGATCACCAAGTCAGCCGGATTAAATAAATGATCGGTACTTGTGGTTGTGCATACACTGTTCTACTTTTAAAGATTCGATTGAAAGCACACGTTCATTCATTGAAGCGAAACAATGCATTTACAGGGCGGTTTGCACAATAAAAATATCAATATAAAATCAAAATAATATAAACTAGACAGATTTTTAACTCAACTTCCTCCCGATAGCCGGGAATTAATAATGATCCCGTTTTAGCAGTTTTAAACTTAAATTCTTTTTCGCCTACTTTATATCAAGCTTTATTGTTATTTAATGTTGCACATCATCAATTTGTAAAAAATTTTTAAAGTTTTTTTGTATTTAAAACAATCAACCACAAATGAATGTTCACAACATAACATAAAAATCATTATTTTTTAAGTAAAAAACGTTAAAAGTAACAAATATTTATAATCAATTTTTTTGGTACATTTGTTTTAAATAGGTGAACAAATGGAAGATCCAAAACCTTGCGGAGGAGAATATACTTGTGATAGAAAAAATGGCTTTGAATGCAAAGAAGGCTTTGAAGGACCAAACACTGGCATCACCAACTTTGATAACTTTGGTTTGGCAATGCTTACTGTTTTTCAGTGCGTCACCAATGTAAGCCAGCGCCATTTTTAGTCTTATTGTTTTCACTTTGAACTGATTTTTAAACTTATTTAAACAAAATACACAGGAAGGCTGGACAAACATTCTTTATTGGGTAAGTCTTTGACTTAGTTTGTCATAAAAAACAATTTTTGTGAAAATTTTCCAATTTATTCTAACTTGTTTTAAGCTATTTTAAAATTACAAAAATAAACTTGTTCCTAATGTTAACTTGTGTAAAGTCAAAAGCTACAAAAGGACAAATGAATCAATCAATTGTGGCTTGTAAAGTGTCTGTGTGATCTTAATTATATTTGATTTATAATTTACAAACTAAAAATGCTCTTTTACTAAGGCTAGAATAAAAAGGGAAGTTTTTGGAACGATGTACAATTATCCTAATTGAAGTCTTATGTTAATTGTCAAAATAAGTAATTTTACTTGTCGCCAGAAATAACATTTGCACTAAAGTTAAGGCTTGTTAAAAAAGAAAAATTACGTATATAACTTTACAGATGGATCGTTATTTTCAATTGATTCTCATTTGTCACTTAGTTGTCATTTGAAAATTAAAGTTAAAAAAATTTTAAAAAAGATGTTTAAATAAATCTTTTTAACAAAATGTTGCAATAACATTTTAAAACAAAAACAAGCGGTAAAGACCACAAAAAGAACTCAATAACAACATCAACAAAAAAGTAACAATGTCACAAAAGGACTCTAATGTTAAATCTGAATTTTAGTTTAAAACAATAAAAATAGATGCAACTTGAAAATGAGTAAAAAACTGTGATTTAAAAATAAACAACAAAATATTAAAGCATCTGTAAAAAAATTTTGTCTGAAATTAAATGATTTGGAAGTAAATTATTGCTTTTACAAAAAACAAATGACCTTTTTTAAGTGAAAAAGTGTTTTCAAATGCTTGTTTTTACTAAAAATTAAAAAAATTTACAATGTACTAAGGAACCTTGTTTAACAAAACTAAATTTATTTTTGTGTTATATTTTAAATTTTATAGTTTTTAATTAATTGTATTTGTATGATTATAAAAGTTTGCAAACTGTTTTAAAAATAACGCTTTTTGAACTGCATAATTTTTGTAAAATAAATTGTTTTTTATTAAAACTTTTTATCAATTTAAATGTTTGCAGATTAATGACTCTGTCGGAAATTCTTGGCCATGGATATATTTCATAAGTCTCATCATTTTGGGTTCATTTTTTGTAATGAACCTTGTTTTGGGTGTACTAAGCGGGTAAGTTTTATGTAAAATGTTTTTATAGGCTATTTTAAAATGATGTAATTTGAATAAAAACATTTTGATAAAATCAATGTGATTTACCAGTTTTTAGAACTCAAAAGTAATTATTTTTCATCAATAATGTCTTTTAAACAACTTAGTGAATTTTCTAAAGAACGTGAAAAGGCAAAAGCTAGAGGCGATTTCCACAAACTGAGAGAAAAACAGCAAATTGAAGAAGATATGCGCGGATATCTAGATTGGATTACTCAAGCGGGTATTATTCTTATGTGAAGAAAATGAAAGTTTATAAACTAAAATCATTTGTTATTTACAGAGGACATTGAACCGGATGAAAAAGAATCAAGCACTGAAAGAATTGGTAAAAATATTAATCCAAGATGCTTGTTTAAACTATCCTCTTAAATTGACCCATTACCCACATCATTGAGGGCATTTTGTCAACAAAACACGCACATTTTACCATCAAAACAAAGCTAATTTGTCTCATTTGCATAGTTATTGAAGAAAACCAGAAAAATGAAGATGATGAAAATAATGGCGACTCAGCAAAACAGATATCTTATTGGCGGCAAAAACAGTATGTTTTAATAATATCTAGATCTAAATTATTTTAGCAGACTTACCAAAACAATTTTTATCTACTTTTAGAAAAGAATTAGAGCGAATTAATAGGCGAATGAGGAGAGTGTGTCGGAAGATTTGCAAATCCCAAGCACTTTACTGGACTGTTATTGTGCTTGTGTTTCTCAACACACTTACATTGGCTTCAGAGCATCATGGACAAAGAAAGTTTCTTGACGATTTTCAGGGTGAGATTAAAAAAATTGATAACATTTAGTGCTAAAACAAAGTACAAATCGCTAGACGCTAAAAATAATAAGTTTTATAAAAACAAAATTTTAATAAACGTTTAGTAAAACAACAAGAGTGACTAAATCAAATAGTAAACAAAAACAAACAAACAAAAAACAGCTACGAACCAAAAACTTGGCTGAACAGATGATTCCAATTGATTTCTGCCGTTTTGATTTTTGTCGTTTTTCCATTACTATTTAATGCGCAATTTAAAACAAACTTCATAAATGGCAGACAAGCAAAGAAAAAAACAATGACAAAGAGTTCAGTGCGAATAAAATAACACAAACAATAACACAAGCCAGACAGTGCGCAGTGACAAACAAACATTGGAAACAGGGAACCTTGAGCCTCCGCAGACTTTCGTATTCAATTAAACGTTGACCACTGTGCTTAATTGACTGACTGTTCCATTAATTTCTAGTCGTACTTACATTTCTTTTTTGTTTTCAACACAGAAGCCGCCAATTTAATTTTTGTTGCTCTTTTTCTGTTTGAAATGCTTCTCAAAATGTACTCTCTCGGCTTCCAAGGCTATTTTGTATCGCTTTTCAATCGATTCGACTGTTTCGTTGTCATCAGCTCCATTTTAGAGATTATTCTAACAACTACAAGTAAGTTTCATGTATAGAGAAAATAGATTTACAAATTGAACAATATTTCAGACTTAATGCCACCGCTGGGAGTGTCTGTTCTTCGGTGTGTTCGACTGCTTCGGATCTTCAAAGTAACCAAACATTGGACTTCACTGCGCAACCTTGTTGCCTCTCTCATCAACTCAATGCGAGCCATTGCTTCACTTTTGCTTCTGCTATTTCTTTTTATTGTTATCTTTGCTTTACTGGGAATGCAAGTATTTGGTGGCAAGTTCAATTTTCCGGATAAAGAAAAACCCGAAGCCAATTTCGATTCCTTTTACCAATCTTTGTTGACTGTCTTTCAAATACTGACTGGTGAAGATTGGAATGAAGTCATGTACGATGGCATTAATGCATTTGGTGGTGTCAGTAAGCCAGGAATACTGGCTTGTGTTTATTTCATCATTCTTTTTATCTGTGGTAACTGTAGGTGATATTTTGTGTCATTTTGCTACACTGTTTAAAATTTATCTTTTTTCTTAGATATTTTACTAAATGTTTTCTTGGCTATCGCCGTGGACAACTTGGCTGATGCTGAATCACTGACAGCAATAGAAAAAGAGGAAGACGAAGATGATGAGGCTATTGAAATTGACAACACAGACGATTTTGAGGAAGAAAGAAAACGAAAACTGAGAAAACTACGCAAAAAAAGACGAAAAAGAAAGTTGGAATTAGAAAGAGAAAATCAAGAAAACGGCGATATCCGCTTACAAACTCTTAATGGAGAAAGAGATGATAAAAAAAGTGAAATATCTAAATCAACATCTGATGACTCTGAATATGATGACGAAGATTTTGATGAGGATGAAATTGACGATGATATTGATGATGAATCAGAAGTAGACGAGCTTGAAATCGATGCAAACGATAAGGAAAATAAACATGGTTTTCACGAATCTGCAAACATAAAATCACTGAGCGAATACAGTGGAGCAAGACCTCGAAGATTGTCTGAAATCAATATTACTAAAAAGATTCCGCCAATTCCAAAATATAGTTCATTTTTTATATTTTCACACACAAATAGGTACAAATATTAGATGATTATGAAAATATTATCAAAATAATTTTTTATTTTTAGGTTTCGAGTCGGTTGTCATCGATTTATCAATCACAATCAATTTGGCAACGTTGTTCTACTCTGCATCCTCATCAGTTCGGGCATGCTGGCAGCTGAAGATCCTTTAAACGCAAATTCAGAGAGAAACAAAGTACAAATGAAACACTGTTTATAGTTGTTTTTAATAACTTTGATCATCTATTTTCAGATTTTAAATCATTTTGACTATTTTTTTACTGGCATTTTTTCAATTGAAATCACACTAAAAGTAGGTTGTGTTTTATAAATTGATAACCATTTTTCTCAACATGTTTCACTATTTTCAATAAACAGACAATATCAGACGGTGTCATTTTGCATAAAGGATCTTTCTGTCGCAGCTACTTTAATTTGCTTGACATTCTCGTCGTTTGCTGTTCTCTCATATCTTTTGCTGAACCGTAAATTTTTTATTTGTAATATACACATCTTACAATTTTTTTACTATAACAGAGGAGGTACCATGTCAGTGATAAAAATTCTTCGAGTTCTTCGTGTTCTTCGTCCACTTCGAGCTATCAACCGTGCTAAAGGCCTCAAGGTACTGTGCTTTGTTCATTTTAAATTTTTTTAAAGCTAGTGTTTTGCTAAACTATTTTTAATATAATTATAGCAGTATCAAATTATGTTTTAATTTAAATATTTTAGATCTACAATAAAAAATGTATTTTTATTTGCTACTTTTGCGTCAGGTAACAGTTGAGGTTAAAATTTGGCTTTTTTAAAAAATTATAATTTAATAATGTGTCTCACTAATTTGTTTAAAATTTCAATCACTAAAGCTTTAAATGTTATCAATTGTTCCAATGTGAACCATTTATGTGCTTGACATTAAATTTAAAAATTTTACCAACTTTCCCCTTTTTCACTTTTGCAGCATGTAGTTTCCTGTGTAATTGTTGCCATTAAAACTATCGGCAATATTATGCTGGTAGGTATTTGTTTTTTATTTTAAAAAAATCAAAAAAAATTTGTTTAAAAAAAATATCATTAATAATTTTTATATACTATTTTTACGACTTTTCCTTTATATGTTGTTTATAAAACAAATTATACACTCTTCCTTATTTAACCTAAACTTGGTGTTCCCCAACTTTATTCGTGTTTGCTGGCTCACAATAGGTGACATTTTTGCTCAATTTTATGTTTGCTGCAATTGGCTGTAAGCTCTTCAAGGTAATTTTCAATATTACAAAAACATTCCCCCACAAATCACGTGTGAGCTTAAGCAAACTAACACTTATCTTTTAATGCCTTTTTAACCTCAACTGCACTATTATATTTTAATTATTGCTAGTTTTTTTTGGTATTTTTTGTGCTATACATGATTTTTTTAATTGCTTGCTTGCTTGTCTTAACAAATGTGCCATGTTTAATTTTTATATGCGAGTTAATTTACATAAAAATAATATTATGAATACTGGTTAAAATTTTTACAAACACTAGATATTTTTGTCAGAACAAACTTACTTATTTAAAAATAGTTATTAAAACAAATAAACAATTTTTTAAAGTTTGTCTTAATTTTCTACTCAGCTGGTTGTCAAGTCAGTACTGGTTGCTATCAAAATGATGGGCCAGATTTTGATGGTAACTTATCTTCTGCAGTTTATGTTTGCTGTTGTTGCGGTGCAGCTATTTAAGGTAAATAAAAACAAAACATTACATCATTATTAAACCTAATTAAACTTTAATTTTTTTTTTGCTTTTTTTGTTGTAAAAATTAAATGCATGATTTAAAAATTTTGTGTTCAATTTTAGGCAAACAATTAAAATGTCAACTAAATTATTTTTAGTATAACTCATTTATTATTTATTTTAGTGCATGACAAATTTATTTTTCAGCATTTTTTAAGAACTGAAATGACAATATTTGAATAACAATCGCAAAAACAAAAAAATGAAAAAAAATGCTCAAAAACAAAAAACGATTGCTTGCCAAATGATTGACTAAAGTAAAGTTGTTTTGTTTTAGCAAAGATAACTTAGGAAAAGAGTTAATCGGTTTTGATACAAAAAAACGTATTTTAATCCAATGAGCACTTTTACGAATTGGCTAGTGATCGATTGCATTATCAAATGTCAGTTTGCGCCTTTTGTTTTTTTCAAACATGTCATTGGCATCAATCTTGCAGAAAAGTCGTAGATTAAACAAGAAAAAATTAGTAGTTCAGTAAACTGAATGAGATTTGCAGCTTGGAAAAATCACCATGTCTACTTTGCATTAGCAGGGTTTTTGTTTTAAAAATACTTGTTTTTATGCTAGTCATTTGTCGAAACTCGTTTTTCATTACAAAAATAAAATGATGTTTGAACGTAAGACATTTGTAATTTGTAAACTTGACCAGATAATTGCAATTAGAAATGATAACTAGCTTATTTTATGCGCTAGTTTACGGAGTTTCTCCCAAGGTCGCCAGAACTAAATTGCGTTATATTAGATGTTTTATTAAAACAAATAACAAAATGAAATCGGATACTTGAATGACAATCTCAAATCCAGCTTCTGATTGATCAACTTGATCAACTGATATGATCATTTAGAATGACTCTTACTAAAAACGTTATTGAAGTAGTTAAACTACTAAAAACACTTAACTACATCAACTTTAATAACTTTAATTTTTAGCATTGGTCAAAGATACTTTTAAAAATGTACCAGCAGGCATTAAAACATATAAAAATTTTATTAAATTATTTCACCAAACAAAAACTAAATATCAAAAAGCAGATTGTCAATAAATATAAAGTAGCTGACTCAGTAAAATAAAACATATATTAGTTTGCAGAAACAAGACACAAACATTTGATGGCATTGAACTAACCACTTTAGAGTCACAATGTTTTTCAAGTACATAGTCGCAATTTGCATCACAAAGTTGGTATACACTGTTTAGAGAACTCTGGTTCTGTGTCATTATATGTGTCGTCAGTGCATGACTTTGAGCACATCATTTGGGCTAGCATCTAACAAACAAACAAAAAAAATTGCTACAAAAACTAAAATGTCATTTTTTTAGTCAACCAAAATTTTCCGGTATCTGCATTGCATGTTTTGCCCGTATTTTTTTAATATTTTTGTGTTTTTCAAGCATTCATTCTACAAAAACAAAAGAACAAAATTACTTAACCAAAATTAATTTTGTGGTAATGATTNGAATTTCCACAAAAACTAAAATGTCATTTTTTTAGCCAAAATTTTCCGGTATCTGCATTGCATGTTTTGCCCGTATTTTTTTAATATTTTTGTGTTTTTCAAGCATTCATTCTACAAAAACAAAAGAACAAAATTACTTAACCAAAATTAATTTTGTGGTAATGATTCTAGTAAAATAATCAATGTTTCTATTTAATGTGAAGAAAATCATGATTTTGAACCTTATCTAAGTTCATTTGGTCAGTATTGTGATAGTATTTGCCACAATCAAGTTTTTAAAAACTCAAAGCATTTTATAAATCTTTATCATGCTTTAATATAGTGCAGTAAAGTGTGAAACTGTAGTTATTTGCAGATTTTTCTAATTTAAATTGTGTTTTTGTAAAAAATTTTAAAAAACAATAATTTTTTAGTTAAAAGGATTAGATTATAATATTATTATGAGATTATTCTGTTTAACAAGTAAAAAATTTGAAGACAGTCATCACTTACACTAAACTTATACTCATTGAATAATTGATCATTATCTTCTGACGCCTGATTGGCTTGCCGTTACGAAATGCATGAATGACTTTCTATTAAACTTTATTTTTTGCCTTTTTGTTTAACATTTTTGCATGTTTTTAAAATGATCTTGCATTAGTTTTCTGCTTATCCTTCACCTTCCTTCACAAGCACTTTCCTAAAACTAATCGCACTAAAACACTTTCAGCGTTACAATTTAATAAAAACTAATTCTATTTTCTTTTTTAATCACAAGGGAACATTCTACGAGTGTTCTGATCCTTCCAAGTCAAACGAGATTGAATGCCAGTACGTTTGTGATTTGTTTGTCAAAGCTAATTTCCTCTTTTCAAACACTCATTATTGCTGTTATTATTATTGTTATTTTGATCACCGTTTTAGGGGCCGCTTTATAAGCTATGAAAAAGGTTATCCTGTTGTTGAACCACGAGTATGGGACCGAAATAGGTTTCATTTTGACAATATTGGAGCGGCTATGTTAACTCTTTGTACTGTATCGACATTTGAAGGCTGGCCACAGTGAGTGATTAATGATGAGTATTAATGAATTTTGGTTATGCAAACTTTTTATTTTATTTGTAGACTTCTTCACAAGTCAATCAATTCGCATGCTGAAAATGAAGGCCCAATTTATAATTACCGCCCGTTCGTGGCAGTTTTTTACATTATTTACATCATTGTAATTGCATTTTTTATGGTTAACATCTTTGTCGGCTTTGTTATTGTTACCTTTCAAAATGAAGGTGAACAAGAATACAAAAATTGTGAATTGGATAAGAATCAACGTAATTGCATCGAATTTGCACTAAAAGCTCGACCATCCAAACGGTATTTTTTATTAATTTTTTCCCATTAAAAATCCTTTCAAAATTTATTTTTATTTTTTGCAGATATATTCCAAAATCTCGACTTCAGTACAAAATCTGGTGGCTTGTTACCTCACAGTACTTTGAATTTGTCATATTTGGGCTTATTCTCATCAACACAATTACATTGGCAATGAGAGTAAGTTTAATTAAATGAACATTTTTCGTATCTTGGATGTGTGCGATAGAAAAGTTAATATCAAAAATATTTCTTTAATGTCAGTGAAAAAATCAATCTAAATCAATCAAACCTTCAGAAGACTTTTGATTAATTAATTGCTCTATTAGCAAATATAATACTTTTAACAACTTGTCATTGTAAAACTTTTAATTTTGACAGTAATGAATTAGCAAAGAGCTTTAAAACTTTTTCACTTTTTTTCTTTTTTAGTATCATGGCCAAACGCCCGAATACTCAAGAGTGCTCAGTGACCTTAACATTATTTTCACTGCTGTTTTCACATTCGAGTTTATTCTTAAACTGTTCGCTTTTCGATTCAAAAACTATTTTAGTGATCAATGGAATTGTTTCGACTTTTTTATTGTTCTTGGGTCAGTTATTGACATTTTCTATGAACAATTAAGTGTAAGTACTTTTAAACTAATTGTCTGGCAGCAAACACAATATTATCACCTTAATATTTAACTTAATATTAATATAGCCAAAAGATGGAGATCCAAAACCAAGCAAACTTCATCAAGTTCGACCAACATCAGTGATGAACTTTCTTCGGCTATTTCGCGTGATGAGATTAGTTAAATTGCTCAGTCGAGGAGAAGGTATTCGAACCTTACTGTGGACATTTTTTAAATCTTTTCAGGTTTGTGCTGTATAATTTACAGAAAATGAGCGACTTATAATTGAAAATCATTTGTTGACAGGCATTGCCCTATGTTGCCCTTTTAATTTTAATGCTCTTCTTTATCTACGCCGTCATTGGCATGCAAGTGTTTGGAAAAATTGCACTAAACGATGACGAGGGCTCAATCACAAGAAATAATAACTTTCAAACGTTTTTTCAAGCAATTTTGGTACTGTTTCGATCTGCAACTGGTGAAGCCTGGCAAGAGATCATGATGGATTGCACTAGCAAAGCCAAATGCGATGAAAGGTCTGAAGACTGGAGCAATAGGACTGGTACTGATATTCCCAGCTGCGGCTCAACGCTGGCAATACCTTACTTTATTTCTTTCTACATTCTGTGCTCTTTTCTCATCATTAATCTTTTTGTGGCTGTCATTATGGACAACTTTGACTATCTTACGCGAGATTGGTCCATTCTCGGTCCGCATCACTTAGATGAATTTGTTCGCCTTTGGTCGGAGTATGATCCGGACGCAAAGGGCCGAATAAAGCATCTCGATGTAGTGACACTGCTACGGAAGATTTCTCCTCCGCTCGGTTTTGGCAAGCTCTGTCCACAGCGAATGGCCTGCAAGCGACTGGTCTCAATGAACATGCCACTGAACAGTGATGGTACGGTCATGTTTAACGCCACTCTTTTTGCCGTGGTGCGAACTGCACTGCGAATTAAAACAGACGGCAACATTGATGACGCAAATGAGGACCTGAGAGCGGTTATCAGAAAGATCTGGAAGCGCACCAATCCAAAGCTGCTCGATCAAGTAGTTCCACCGGCGGCTGATGACGAAGTAACGGTGGGCAAGTTTTACGCCACCTTTCTCATTCAGGACTACTTCAGGCGGTTCAAGAAGAAGAAGGAGGAAAGGGCACGCCTGAACAACCAGGAGGAGGAGCACACTGTGGCTCTGCAGGCCGGACTGAGGAGTCTGCATGCTTTCGGTCCGGAAATACGACGCGCCATCTCGGGCAACCTCGATGAGGACAACTTTGAGAATGGACCCGACTGGGAGCCGATGCATCGTCGCAACCACACTCTCTTTGGCAATGTGCTCTCCTCGTTTGGCAATGTCAAGCTGAAGCGAGCGCCCGCAACCTTTCACCAGAGCGATGGTAAAGGCGATGAGTTTGTTTTTTCCAGAGGTTTGTTTTACTAAAAAATGATAATTAACTCACAGTTACTCATACTGTTTTTTGGCTTGTTGTGCTACAGTTGCCTCCGACAAAGCTGGAAACGGTCGTCTGAATAGGTAAATAGAAATGTTGAATTTTTTAACTATTAACTAGACTTGAAATCATAGCTCTAGAGCAATCCTCGCTCAAGTCTAGTCAGTTTTAGCTGCAGTGTTGATTCTGTAAATTATTGTTATTTGATTGTGTAATATTAGTTTTGCTTGACCAACCTGACTACTAACACAAATGCTTACCTCTATGTCCTCTAAAAAAGCACCAGCATTGAGCTTACTTCGCTTTCTAATAACCAAATGAGTGCGCCAACCGTCATGAAATCGTGGAGTGATTCTGAGCAGTGTCGTGACCTTCCTCCGTCAGTTCCACCAAGAAATTATTACTTTTTTAAGAATAATCAATATCAATATCGGCAACAACAACCACAACAACAGATGACGATACCAACAGTGCCATATATCTACCAGGAAAAAGCAGAACAGCAACAGTACTATATGCAAACTCCGTCACTGTTCTGTGAGAACTACAACTTTCCAATGATTGACGAAGATCCTGAATACCAGACTATTGCAGAGTCTGCATGTCTGGTTGAAAGCCAACGACAGTATAGTTATTGCAGCGAGTACAGTTCAGTTAGCATGCCGAGCATCAAGCAACAAGTGTCTTCAACTGCAACTACACCGCCAAACCCGTTGCCTTCCTCAGCTTCCCACCACCATTTTCTCTCAGGACAAAGTCATACCTCATTTGAACCTTTACCTGTGGAAAGAGTATCGAAGAGACATTATCCAAAAAAAGAGTCAAATCGACACGTGAGAATGATCATCTCTACTCTTCCTTCAACCTCTGTTCTACAAATGCCGTCTACCTCATGTGGCAATTTGCAGCATCATTCGAGTCATTCTAGCTTACCAGCAGTTCCCACTGCGCCCCACTCCATGTCCACATTAATACCGCCTCCGCCTAATTTTCGTAATTCTTCTGTCGAATTTGATGAGTCTGATTTGAGTTTAGAAACCAAGCCAATCGGTTTGGCAGACCATTTAAATCTAAAGAAAAAAAGCTACTCAAAAAGCAGCCGAAAACGAAAAGCCTACCGCAACAAAGTTACCACCCAGGCTGTCATCAACTACCGCGAAGAGGACCGCCCTCACAGTAGCCAGTTGACAGTGATGCCTTTTTCCAGTGCCGATCATCTTTCAGAGCAGCCTTTGACGTCCAACCGATGGTATTTCCGCTAGTCTTGCAATGTTTGTGCCGCATGACCATTTGTAGGATTATTTGTTTCTCTGTGTGTGTGCCTGTTTGTTTTGGTGCTGCATGACAAATGATGTGATCTGAGTTTAGTCAATTTTTTATTTTGTGTTTAACTTTTGCCAGCAGTTCAGGTACTTTGTTGTTTTTGTTAGATTTTAGCAGAGAGTCAGCTGTACATTCTAACCAATTTATTATTTTTTACACAAACAACTCATCACACAAACAGTTCACTGAGCGAGCTACCACAGAGCGACGAAGTGAGCCTCACTGGTGCAGCTGGACCTAGTGACCACCGAGCTTCTCTCCTATTGCCTGCACCCGGGCAGCCCTTTGATAGCAGCGGCTATCGTCTATTTACCGAAACGCCTCTGTATTGCTATGCACCTCCAGTGCCATTGCGACCCAAACTGGTCATCGACGATGAGAGCTTTGATCTGGATGAGATGACCATTCCCGATCCGCCACCAGCACCGTTGAGTAGCCCAGTTGAGGGCAGCAGTCGCAAGTCTTCCAATTCGGCCTCGCACAACTCCTCCTTTCGACGGAAACTGTCCGGCTGCTTCCGCAAGCAGGACAGCAACGAGTGTCCAATGCTGAGCAGTACGCCAACCAGTCTCGACCAGGTCGAGGATGACGACCAACGGCAAGCACAGGCAGCAAAGAAGCGCTCCTGGTACCGAAAGGCAACCAGCAAGATTAGCCGACACCGGTCAGTGTCGGAGGAGCGGCCACCAAGTCGACCAGCGTATGAACAGCAGCAGTTGCAGCTGCTGCACCACCAGAGCCACAATGCGCACAATGAGCATCAGCTTCAGCAGTTAGACCCTCGCTCAGTGAGCTCCAACTCCATCTACGATGGCCACCGGCGAAACCGTGCTTCGAGCTTTCTCTCCGCTTCCACCTCACCGTACCCTGCCGCCATTGTAGCATCCGATAGTAATCTAACTGATATCAATAGGCACACTCTGGCCACTGCGGCAGCAGCAGCCCCTCACCGAGCCTCCTTTCATGGCAATCCGAGCCGACTGCAGCAACCAGCCACCGAGGTGGTGGGCAGCGCCGAGAGTCTGGTCGGTCACATCCTGGTGGAGCAAGGACTAGGCAAGTATGTCGACCCGGTCGTCCTGAGGGCCACTCAGCGCGAACTGGCAGAAACGCTGAACATGACGGAGGAAGGTGAGCAAGCGAGGACTTGACTGATTTCACTGAGGCACACCTGCTGATGAGTGCATTTATTTCTTTAGAGCTGGATCGGGCAGCACACCAACTTATCACTTCAGATAACTCGCCTTCTCCGTCGCCGAACAAGAACAATGACAGTACACGAAAACAAAGTACAGCAGGAAAGAAAAAATGAACGCGCACGTAGGCGCAGAGATTCAGTGCTCAACCGTCATCACTCAGATCAATACATTTCCCCTCCTATCAGCGGATTGTTGACTCAGCCCTATTATTTTATGTTACTCACAAGCCCAATTTATTTACAATTTAACTGTTTCCTTACAGAGCACTTGTTGGATCTCACGAGTTAGGCCACTTTTTTTCGTTTTCATTTTTTTCTAATTCTTGCTACTGTCATTGCATAGGATAGTCCTTTTTAAAACCTGAAACTTTAATTTGCTTTGAAACGCAATGCGATCAAATTGACATGTCTTTCACATTGAAGAACAAAGAAATCAATTTTGATACAGCAGTTTAGTTATCCTGTCAGTTTATATCTGAATCCGTCCTATCAATTCTAGGTCTCCCCATTGTGAACACATTTGTTCAAACATTTCATTTCATCTCTAACTTCCCTCTTGCTTGTCACTCTCTTCTGTGCCTTCAGATTCTGGTTGTAATTTTCCTTTTTCACTCCTTCATCAGTCACCTCCGCCACACATGTTCTAATCAGCAGAACACAATATCCTTTTTTATTGTTCATAAGAACTGCTTAAAGACACAATGGAGTCTTTGCCTTTTTATTACTACCCAAATTGTTATTATCTGGTTGTTCTTTTTCAACTATTTTACTAAAAAGTTGTTAATAAAATTGCATACAAATTATAAATCATAAAAAAGTTTTTTTCCCAAACAACCATTTATTAACTGATGAGTTGTGTGTTGTTCGTATACAAACACTAGTGTAGATTTGTAAAATTGGGCCAAGAATACCGAGACCACTTGATAACATTTTATCCAACAGAAAACAATATTAGTCGCCGCACTGTTCGAATAGGATGGAGTGGGTGTAGTTGCGACCAAGTTCAAGATCGCGAGATAACTGAAAATAAATATATATTTTACATGAAAAGATAAAATAAATGAACCAAGTACAACCACGCAAATGCAAGTAAGATAAGGATGAAGGTGTAGATTGGAATCACAGCATAAATTGTCACGTGAACTACCGGTGGGCTACACTTTCTCTGAGCGCTTCTCTCGCAGCTCTTCATTGTTGAAAGTATCCTCCTTATCAGCTTCTTCGTCATCCGAGTACTTGTCCAAACTAGCAGTCTTTGACATTTTTGCCATTTTGCGCTGTCGACTCGAGGAACGATTGCGGCTTGGACGATCATTGCTGCTGTAGCTGCCATTAAGAGAAGATGACGAGGAAGAGGTGGAAACTGGCTGACGTTCAGGACTGGACGGAGGACTGGGAGCAGGTGATAAGGCACGCTTAATTCGGCCAGCGCCGGTGTTCCATAGATTCTGCAGATTGTTCTGCAAAAAAATAATGTAAGCAATGAATAGTGAAGCGGAATTTTCATCACATACCAAGCCGTCAGGACCAAAAAGCTGTGTGAAATTATTAATAAACTCTCGGCTTTTGTCTTCCCATTTTTGAATAATCTCATGACTCTTATCCTTAATCTCGTCAATTTTGTTTTGCAGGATAAACTTCTTCTCCTGTGTAAATAAAGAAGTGTCACTTTACTGATTAATTTCATGTATAAACTTGCATTGAGAAAAGAAACGTTCAATTCTCTGGCTGTGTAACCGCGAGCCAAGTTCCGTCGAACGTAGACATCGTAATCGCGCACAATTCGAGAGACCAAATCCGAAGTGGATATGCCCTCGGTACGCTGCGTCACCAAAAACATGCCTTTCTCTTTGATCAACGTGTACACGTCCTCTGTATCAGAAGATGTGTAGGGAATATCGTCATGGGCAACAAAATCGATCTATAGACAAAGAAACAAAAGGCCGAATTAGGTAAACTTGAGCACGCTATCAGATCAGGGAAGTATACCTTGTGTTTGGTCAAGAAATCTTCAGTAAGTTCCCACGGAGCATCCTTGACAACTTCATCGACATATCGGCAATGGCGCACGGCTTCATATCTCTCCTCCTCATTCATAACAGTTTTTCCTTTGTTTTTGTTGGTTAAATAGTCGTTGCAAACTATAAAAATGTTAAAGTTTAGTTTTGTAAAACTCATTCAGTATGGATGACAAACCTCCGACAATTAGGTACACATTGGGAAAAGCGGCTTTGGCTTGCATCAGCTGTCGAGCATGACCAGTATGAAACATGTCGTAGATTCCGTCCGCGTAAATGCGAATTTTGCGTTGAACCAAGCCTTGGTGAGCCATTTCAAGGCTAACCCGAATTGAATAGTCAATTTGAGCCAGCTCTTCAAGGGCTTCAGGATCTTCAGAGAAGGCAGCAGGACTTGCGTGCGACATTTTTTGTTGAGATTTTTTTCGTAAGTGAAAATGCGCAAGTTTATGCCACTAAGATGGGTTGCTTCCAGCAAAGATGCAATGGATGGTTAATGTGCTTGTATAAAACACACGTCTTTCAGCTTTTCAATTGCATGTGACGGGAGCGCGTTGCCTTATCACAAGCACAGTAATTGCCGAACGTAAAGTCAAAGTTTGAGTCAGGATAAGGATAGATTGAGAAAACGTGCGATGAAAGACTGGTGCGATTGATGTGGATGCTGTTGAAGCTATTGCTGTGCTGCACAAGCGCTTTGAGACACAAGTCCAAATTGCATTGACCAGATGTTGATTAGAGTAGCGTGAAATGCGTGCTGGCAGTGATCTCCAAACAGTAGTGACGCGCATACGCTATGTTCAATGATAGCTGGTGCAAAGTGAAAGGACGGGGAGCCGAAGCTGGTGCACTGAAATTTGAGTTACTTTGTAGCCCAACAGGTAATATGTCGACAAGTTGTATTCAAGTACTCAAGTAGAGTTAAATCAGCAAACACGGTGCAGATGTTCTCTTTTTCAATTTTTTCCACAATTCTAAAAAAATTAAACAGTAAACGTTAGTTTATAAAGTATTAAAGTCATAGCAGCAAGTTGCTGCAAAAGTGGTCTACAAACAGCGAGTGGCACTACGTAATGGCTCATTAAAAATCGATGTGGCAAGAGCTCGTGAAATCATCGATGAGGCGATTGAAAGGAAGCAACAGTTGGGCGACGCAATGACTGCTGAAAGGATGGCAGACAATCAGAATAGTGAGAAAGGAATTCTTTTAAAATCACCTCATGTCTGAGTGCAGTGTAAAGCAAGATTGTAGCAGTAGTATGAGAGTATAAAAAGACGTACTGTGAGTTGCCGTTACCGACAAGGCCGAGAATACAACTACAAGCTTGAGCGAAGAGAGAGAGATTTGGCAGACACAGAGGAGCGATTAACTTGTGGCAAGGTGTCATTTAGACTACTGTGACACTGACACACAACATGAAGTAGCTACTTGATAACTCTAAAGAGCAGCAGATTGACCGATTGCTAAAATCGGTAGGCCATGCAGCCATTAGGTTGATAAGATGACGAGATTTAATTTATAAATTTCAGCTTTCTTGTGACAAATAAAAGCACTACATTTCCCATACTGGTACATGTGTCATACATGACACAGGCGATAGTTGTATGCAAAATAATAAAAGTATCAATAATAAATATTGGTACAATCAGTGTAGTGATGAAAAGGGAAGTACAATTATAATCGATCGTTGATAAAACTCTGCATTGACACCAATATACAAAAAATAATGTTCAGTGTCAAATTATAACTGAATTAGAGGTCACAACTGTACATGGAAAGCAAAGATCGGGGTAAAAAGATGAATCTTTGTTAGAAAAAACAAAATAACTAAAAACCAGTTGCTTTTGAAAACATAATTTTAACGGCTAAAACAAATATACAGCATGATTCAGCCATTTATTAAATAAAATGACAAGAGTTTTTCAAAAAAGTGCTAATTTAGCGCCAATCGATTGGCTCGTATGAACAGTCACGAAGAAAAATAAACTGTAGCCTACTTGAAAATTATTAAAAACGACTAATAAAAACGTCTAAATGAGAAAAACTTGGGAAATAATAAAAACTACTCACATACATTGACAAAACAAAGGAAGCAAAATAACAGTGAGTTGTAAAAATAATTGTCTTGAAAAATAGAAATAGTTAGATTTGAGCTTTTTACACTTTTTACCTTTGAGGAAGACTCTTCAACAGATCACATTTTTATGAGAAACTTAAAAAATTAAAAAACCATTGAGGATGACTCGCTGACATGAGCTAATCGGTCATTCCCCTCGATATGACACAAGTCAGGCCATCACTAGGCGAGATTTGGCCTCTAAGCAACCAGAAAATCAACCAGTAGTTAACTGAGTTGTTCAAGTTACAACTTCAGTCGAATGAGTAAAATAGCACTTGAAGAGGAACTGTGCTTTTCCATAGAACAAATTTTGCTTGCCACGCATTAAGGCCAGACAAGGAGACAGGCGGCGCTGCACTCAGCGTAATGCATTGTTTACCAACAAATGAGTAATTTTCGGATTGCGATAACTCGGTCAATTCTTAAGCTAAAATTACGTTTATGGGTTTAAATTGAAGCTAACGAATAGGCCGAGGGACGCATCAATCAAAATATTTTTAACTGTTTCCAAACTTTTTCAATTGCAATTTTAGTAAAAAACAACTGTAAAAATCAGACTTTTTTTAGTTCAACTTGCAATTGAAAAAGTTTGGAAGCAGTTAAAAATATTCTGATTGATGCGTCCCTCGGCCTATTCGTTAGCTTCAATTTAAAACCATAAGCGTAATTTTAGCTTAAGAATTGACAAAGATATCGCAATCCAAAAATTGAAAATTTTTTCATAGAAAACTGCTGGAGCCGAAAACAGCGCGGCTTGCCTCCGTGTCATGCCTTAAAAATAAAAATTAGTTTGTAGTGGCGATAAAATGAATTTAACAAGCAAGATGTCGTGAATTGGGACGTTACACTTTGACACAGGACTCATATTAAAATTGCAGATTGTTGAAATCAATTTCTGAATGGTAAAGCAAAAAGACCGCCAATTATAAATGTTGAAAACTTGTCAAACATCTTTTTAACAGAGGAGGAGCGGACACACAAGAGTATAAAATTCTCGTAAAATCTGACCCCGAAATTGTGAATGAACAAGTTCAATGGTACTACCAAGTGCGGCAAAGGTAGTAGGAAGAGATTGTCTGTTCTTGTTGGGCAATCAGCGATGACTTACCTTGAAGAAACAGAGGAGCTGAAATTGACGCAATGTTGCTCGTAGTTTGTTGCCGAGTTGACTCTTTACAAGCCTTTTTGAATAAGTGGTACTTCTTGCCAATACAAGTGGAATAAGTGGGTGATATGATGGGTGATGATACCGAGGATAGTAGGGAGAGCCACGAAGCAGAGTAAGCAGAGTTCATTTGTTGGCTAAACAGCTGGCAGAAAATATTCTAAACAAACAGAAAAAAATTGTGCCGACAGCAGATGACGTTCCGCTATAGCATAACAGTTTTGGTTCGGCAGCAAAAGCGTTGCCAGAATGCCCAAGAATCGCTTAAAAATTGGCAAAAAAATTGTAAATACTTTAGCCTAGTTGTTTGATTGAGTTAATTGAGAACACAAACTTTACCAGACTTTATCACGAGCATTTTAAAAAATACAAAAACTTCTCTAATGCTTGTATCGAGAGTGCATTCCACCAAGAATGGATTCTCAAATGGCCGTTGGAATCAGTGTCTTTAATTTGCAGCTGAGGCCGCCACTGCCGTTTCTGAAACAGTGCTCACCAGCTGACAGATGCGAGCAAAAGTATCAAGGATCTCTGAATCTTTTTGAGATGCACGTAAACAGTGTCAGAGGTTAGTCAACTATCGGTTCCTGAAGTTGCAACTCAAGGTAAAAGTTGTGATGATGTTTATTTTTTTTCATGCAATACGATTCTAAAACTTGTTTTGGTTTACAGATGAGCACCTTTAATCAATCAGCTCCGCCACCTCAGGAAGAGGCACTACTGCCTCCTGCTTATATTCGAGCTCAACGAGCGGCCACCTTCTCTTCGCCTGACTTTAAATCAATTATTCTTGAATTACAGGTGGAGCAGAACAACCTGAAGAGGAACTATGAGAGTTCAGCACGCTTACGCAATGTAGGCGTTTTCTTGTTGTTGTTCATTTTTATAATGGTCATTTTCTCAAATCACATTGAGCACCCTCGCGCAGCTTATCAGTTTAGCGTTCGGTGGCCTGTCGTTGACTGCGCCATAAACTCCACAGCGTGCAACCTCAACTTGGCGAAAATGAATACCTGGATAATTTCCCGTTTCGCCCCATTAACACCAAACCGACCTTGCAACACATACTGTAACAATCAGCCCTTTAATGAGTCCGAAGTAGCGTCTATCAAAGCAGATTTGGCCAAATTTTGGCCCGATACTGCCAAGTTTGGGGAAGAATCCACCTGGGCTCACGAATGGCACAAGTTTGGCACATGCAGCCATTTTGGACAGTTTACCTTTTTCGCCCGAGCACTGTCTCTCTATTCATGCCAAAAGTTGAGCTATTGGCTGACCGATGATGGTGTCACACCAAGCAACTCCAACTCGTACACGACGAAGCGGGTGAAAGAGGCCATTGCTTCTCGACTTTGGCCAAAGACCAGTTTCACATTGCACTGTGAATGGCATCGAGGCATACAGTTTCTGTCAGAAATATCTCTGTGTGTCGCCGAAGACGGACGCCAGCTGACAGCCTGCACTAAAGAGGTGGCCATCAACGCCTGCAGTCACGAGTTTATTTATGCGGCAGCATTCTGACCAACTCAGTTTCCTTTTGCACTTTTGCCATTTGCCCTCATTGACCCCTATACAAAGACCCATCTTTGATCTTCGTCAGCAAGGCACCTCTGGGTGCTGTACTGCGTTGTAAGTTCACTTTATACTGTGATTCTTCCCTCTTTCCCTCTAATCGTTTTTATTTTGCAGCCCTCTGTATTACACTACAAGATGATTGCTTTCACTGAACAAAGCCGTATAGCTGCTACTTTGCAAAACTGTAAAAGTACGATAGAGCACTGAATCTCGGCGGCATTCCATGGGCTGGAAGCATTCTTTTTCTCCTCCTCCTCCTCATTCCTTTATCTTCCATCTTAGATGTTTTTTTTCAAATGGGCCATGTCTGAGTGCGGCCCAGTGTGGTCGTACTTTTTAGGCCGAAGAACGTTACTACGCACTTTCAGTGTACAGTTTAATGTGTCCAAATGATGCTAGCATTTATCGACTGGTAATGTTCTTGTGCCCTCATTTCTCCGTTCCCGCCTAGCTCCTGGCACAGTGAATGCCTGCAAATGATCCTAGTCAACTGCTAAATAAACGCCGTATAGCCCTTCTCTATTATGTTTGCTGTGCGTCTGTGTGTGTGTGTGTTTGACTTGTCATTAGACTTGATCTAGATAACCAGCAGCAGATGTAGAGGCAGCCTTTCTTGCCTTTCTTGAACGACTTTCATATCGAGCTGTTTTTGATTGCCTGTGCCATCCTTTGATCTTTTGGTGCTTGTTCCTTTTCCTCTCTTTCTCCTTTTTCATCCTTCGTTTGCAGGATTAGTGCCCTTGCAGTGATCGTCGTCGCCTGAGGAGTCCACAGAGCACAAAGAGCATCGTTAATTTGGCAAAATGGCCCACTCGGCTTTCGTGGCGTCGGTGCAGCAGCAGCAGTATCGTTGCCTTGCACACATGACTGCCCACTGGAAGTGTGTGCGAGTGTAAGTGCGAGTGCGAGTGTGTGTGTGTGTGTGTGCTCCTGCCGTCTCTGGGCAATCGATTCCGAGCATCAGCATCATCATTTCTCAGGGATTGTAGCACTGCCTGCTAAATTCACTTACATGCAGAAGGGCATGCGTACAGTTCCGTTCGGCGGTGACTGGTTTTGCCCTGAACTGGTAAAGTTGTGCTCCATAGCGGCGGACAAACAGTGCCTCAGTGCGATTCAGTGGCGGCGGTCTTCTCTGGAAGCACCACGACCGCACACTGCCCGTCACTTTTCGTTTTGCTGCAGTTTTGCGTCCGGTCCAAGCCACACATTGATGCCATTGTCAAGTGAAGCCATTGTAGCCGCCCGCCTCGACTCGAAACTTTTGCTGGGGGGAAAGACGACAAGTTCCAAGTGTACTGTGCGGTAAGTCTGCTCCACTGCTCACTCTGTGTTCATCTTTGACATTCATTCCTCGCATTCTTTTCAATTCTCACATAATCTTTTTATTTACATCACAGCTTTTAAGCTGATTATCAGTTTTGCTGATACTTTTATTTGACATGTTTGCCCTTTTATGTTTCACCGCGAAAATGGCGCTGAATTTTAGATGTGCTTTAATATAGAAAAATCAATTGGATTTTTGTGCTAGATTTGTTAGAATTTTTTTGCTGACATTTTGCTAAAAAGTAAAAAACAAATAGGCAGCTTTTTATTAGCTATGCCGTTTTTTCTCTTTCATTTTGATCCGCTTCTGTGAGAGAGACACCGAGAGAATGAGAGTTAAAACGTCAGCGCACATTGCACACTGCTCTATTCCCCAAGCTAATCAAGCAAATGCGATTCTCGTTACAAAAAGAGGCGATGCAATGGCAGTGAGACTTCCTTTCTTCTGTCTCAGAAGGAAAGTTGAAATTAGGCGGACACACAGACGGGCTGACTAAATTCAATTTCTTTGTTTCGTGAACTCACGTCTCTCGCTCTCGCTCTCATTCGAACACTGTTCGTCTGCGGTACTGCTTCTTTATTTTTGTTCTAATTTCATTCGTGCTAATGCTTCTACAGTCAGATACAGGCTCAAACTTTTACTCGTTTTCTCACGGAGCACATTCTTTGCTAATCAGATTAATTCGCTTCATCATTAGCCAATTCAAACAGCCTCGATTCCTTTGTCTATTGAGCATTAGTTTTATCCAAGTGCATTTCTGTTTGTCTGATCACTGAAAACTCCTTCTTATAGCTAATGAACAAAACTGCTGATCTTTCTTTGGTTATTTTTCTTTGAATTTTGATTCTTCGATTTGATGCTGAATTCACTTTTGGCGAAGTGGCTGCTACTGTCGGCGGCGACGACTACCGTGCACCAGTGTCGTCCAGGGTTACCACACGTACCGACACTACGTCTGGTCGTCCTTGATTTTAATGTGCCCTATTCATGTACACCAAACTCATTTCCCTCTACTTTTTAATGTGTGCTTTGATGTCCTATCTGCCTACTTTATGCTTTTTCAAACTACAAAAGTACCACAAGATTATTTTCCTTTCAATCAGCGTGACCTACTTTGCCTGCTAATTTAAGTATCTTCTTTGTTTCATTATTTTAATCATGTCTTGTTATTTCTTTCTGTACAGAATTTTCTTCTACAATAACCATCTTTTGTGTCTGTTTTTTAAACTGTTTTGGAGTGGGCTCTGTCAGTACATTGCCGTGCTGGAAAGCACAACATCTCACAAGCTCGCCAAAACAGTTTGATGAACACGATTACTCATGGCATCGCTTTCTCGTCATTTTCAAACTTTTAATTACTGTAATTTACACAACAAAAATTGTTCAATCATTTATTGCAGATGATCAGATTTTCAAATTTTTATTTTGGCGCTAATAATAAAATTACTTGAATCAAATAAAAATAACCTGGTTTTCTAGTTTTAACCAAATAAAAATCAGTTGCATTTCATTGATCCAAAGACGATAACGTCACTGCAATTCGATCTTATTTTTGTCGTGCCTTGAAATCATATTGGTAGATGCTGTACTTTTTTTTCATTTGCACTTTGCACATGGCATACTGCGACGACTGGCTCATATGGCGACAGCGAAGCTCCGCCTTGAAGGAGAAAGCGAGTTGTAAAAGTGACTCAAAGGAAATGCAGCTGCATCAGTTACGACGTAAATATTGTGCCTGAGATTGCTTCTCTGTGTTTGTTTTTGGCACTCAAAGTCATATTCCGACTGCTTGATTCTCTAATTGCATAGTCAACTTCTTGCAGGCCCCAAGGTAAGTTTTGTCAGTCCTTTTGTTGTTTACTGATCACTGACACATCATTTTCCTTCAATAGATGAGCTCAATTCAGTACCCCACTTTGCCAACAAGCAATGGATATTACACTGAATATACGCCACTGGTGAACGATCGATACTTTTTCGTGTACCGTCACAATGACACCTTCTTGGAACGACTGCGTCGGGCTCTGGTTTTCATTCTTCTGTTCTTTTTGCTCTCTTTCATCTTTTTTGCCATTCTTTCCGCCATGCTGCAAATGGTTACAGTCAACGATGAGCCATACACTTACTACCTATTTACCAAACGGTGGCCTGCTGCCGAGTGCAAGGACAACTCCAAATGCGTCAAAGACTTGACCAAGTACAACCGATGGCTCATCCACGGATTATGGTAAGAGTCTTGAACAACCCGAAATGTTGGTTAAAAAGTTTTACCAAGCATCCTTTTGTCATTAGGCCAGAATTTTCCAACAACACCTGGAACGAGTACTGCACCAAAAGCAAGTTCAACGAATCAGAGGTAGAAACTCTCAAATCGGAACTGGTCTCAAACTGGCCCAACTTGCTTCGCGATCAAAATGAAGACTCTTTGTGGGCTCATGAATGGAATAAGCACGGAACGTGTAGTCGCTTTAATCAGTTCAACTACTTCGCAAGGACACTGTCATTGCACAACCGCTACAATCTCGATCAGTGGCTAGCTGATGCGTCCATCCTTCCCAGTAACTCTGTCAAGTACAGTGTGTCACAGTTTGTCGATGCCATCGGCAAGCATATCAGCTCAGACAGCGTCGCACTCAATTGCGAACGCCATCACGGTGGCCATTACCTGAAAGAGGTCTACATCTGCGTCGCTTTTGGAGATGCACAGACGTTAATTCCCTGCACAGTGGAAACTACTTGTCAAGAGGACTTTTTCTACCCTAATTTGAACTGAAACTTTAAGGTTTGTCAGTGGATTACAAAAAGACTTAAATTTAACTTTACGTTTCTAATTTCAGACTACAGTTTCAAAATTCACAAAACGTATTTTCGCGGCCTTTACTCTGTACACCACCCACATGCATCAAGTTTCATTGTGAATCTCGAACCTACTTTAATTCGTCTTGTTTTCAACCATACACTTGGCATTTTCAACGCGGTGATAATCAAGCTTTTATTTATTTTGTTGGTAGTACAGGTCGTAAACTTTACAATTGCTGCAAATTGTTTAATAAAGCTGTACATTTTTTTTGTTAAATGAGATTTATTATAGAAATGAATCATATACTTCGTAATCAAATGGGATATATTCAGATATGCTGTTGCCATTTAGCGATAGAGGGTTTCATTGCTAGACACCTCAAGAGCCAGCTTCTCGAGTTGCTTTCGCGACTCGAGAAACTTTTTCAATTGCCCTTGTTCAAGCACAATTTCTTTGGCAATATCGTCCATTTTCTCTATGCACTGGTCAATTCGCTGCAGAATTCGGCCGCCTCGTGAAAAAGAATGGCGACTGAGTTCAATTAGATTTTCTACATCTTTAAATAACACCAGCAATCTCTGGTTGTTTAGAATGTCCTTCTTAGCATGGCTAAACTTGGAGCTAGGCTTGGGTGAGGGATTGCTGAAGCAAGGCATACTGAAGAAGGTACGTCTTGCTTTGGGTGACTGCTTCGCTGGATGCATGAGATCGTTCTTTAGAGTTGTAAGTTAAATGTTAAACCAGTTTAAGATTTTTTGAAACAAAAAAGTTTACTCACGATGAAAAGCTCGATGAACACTGACAATTGCTTTTCTTGTTGGCTAACGGGTAACCATTTACTTTTTTGAGCAAAAGTTACTTGACAGGATAAAGCGATTCAATAGACACTGGTGCCTTCTCTGATCCAACTATTTATTGTGTGGTGCGACAGTGCCTAAATTCAATTGCACCTCTACTATTACTTTTTATGACATTTAATTGTGCAATTACCGAGCAGCTTATCACACATCTGCTGCCCTGTCTACTAGGTTATGCTAATCTGCTCAATGCTTTTTCAATTTGTGTTGATAACGGGGAATGGTAGCATCAAAGCTACCAGGCAAACTCTGTGAACACCGTCTCAGCAGTGCTCTGACGTAGAATCGGCAACTTTTGTTGTACTTGTAATTTGCATAGTTTGGGTAATTAGTGTTGGTTATCGCTACTGGTGTCTGCAAATGTGTTAAAACTTTCTTGTCTTGAAAATGTTAGTTTAATGTGTTTAAGATTGTGTTCAAGATTTGGTTGCAAGATGAGGCAGATAATAAAGATATATTCCAAATGTTAATTGTTTTTTATCAGATGTACATTTAACACGGTTAACGACTTTACAGATTGTGTCAGCTGTGTCAGCTTGATCATCAACTTGATAAAGGGATGTTTATTATTTTTCTCAAAATGTAATTGACGTAATAAAGAAGTGCCAATAAGCACAGTAGATTTGAGTTGATCCAACAAATTGGCCAATTATCAATGTCGGGCAGCAGCATTTTATGTGTTCAAGGATGACGGAGATAATCTCAACTTGAGACGCGTTTGTAATTAACGCTTTTCTTATTTTCCACGGTACCCTAATGACATGTTATAATGACAAAAAGATCCTTAAGTGCAAATGCCAGATTTTGAAGCTTATCTAAATTCAGGTAAACTGTATAACGACATATTTGAGTTGCTTGATGCATTTTTTTAATGACGCAATCTCTGCACGCCGTTAAAAGCGTTGTCAATCTCGATCAATGCTTCTGTCAGTTCTGGGCTTGTTGCAAGTCAATACAACTCTGGTCTCCAACAAACATCATGACTACTCCAAGTAAAAATCGCATCCTCAAGGAACTGGAAAACATCCGCAAGAATCCTCCCGCTTTCTGTTCAGCTGGTCCGGTAAGCGACGACAACATTTATCGCTGGCAAGCCACCATCATGGGCCCACCCTCAACGCCTTTTGCTGGAGGCGTTTTCTCCTTGTCAATTGAGATGAGTGAAAAGTACCCGTTTGAAAGTCCCAAAATGCAGTTTGTTACGCCTTGTTTCCATCCAAATATCACCGAAGAAGGCAAAATATGCATTGAAATTTTGTCAAATCCAGAAAAGTGGTCGCCTACTTTGAACATTTCCAGCGTTCTCACTTCAATCTACGCACTACTGAGCGAACCGGACACCAGTCATTCTCTGCGTCCTGATGTGGCCAAAATGTACGACACAGACCGCGAAAAGTTTTTGCAAACTGCCCGAGAATGGACTCAGAAGCATGCTATGTAAAGCAAGTAACCGTTATTTCTCAAAAGTAAATTGGTAAAATGTATTCAATATCCTGTACTTTGCATGTACATTAAACTGTGATTTGTTTATTACTACAATTTGTATTTAATGATAGTGAGGTAAAAAGGGTATCCGAATATTTGTGTTGGAGATGAAATGAAAGAGAAAGATGCTGAGGACAAATGTGACACAAGTGTAGCCCGACGTGGTAATGTACCCAATGAGCACCGGAAAGTGAGTGTAATCCCAGCCACGAAGCATCACCAAGCGCACCGAACGGATCGTCAGAGTGATGGGATTGAGAAAAACGAGTTTCTGTATAATGTCCGGCAGTCCTTCCATTGGCCACATGCTGCCGGAACTGAGCAACATTGGAATAATGAGACTAATGACGGCAATCTGCAACGAGGAGAATGTTAGATGGGCCTACAAAACAAAACAAATGCACTTACACTGGCGAAAATTTCATCGACGCAAAGCGTGGAAATGACCAAGCCGATGCTCAGTCCTTGGATGCCCTGCAGAAAGATGAGCACAAAAATTTCCAGCAATGAGCCTTTGTTCTCCAGCTTGAAGACAACAAATGCCAACGTAATGGTGATCGAGACAGTGGAGACGACGGCGAGAAAGCACGTCAACATGTGACCGCAAAGAATCTCCAATGGCTTTACGCCGGCCACAAAGGCTCGCTCTTGATGTCCTTCCTTTCGATCCATCACGATCAACAGCGACCCAATGACCATGGGCAGCGTGTACAGGCAAAAGACGATCAGCGCAGAGACGAGATAGTGACCTGGATGGGAAAATTGTTCAACAACTTGTTGAAGATTAGGCGCTTCATCTTACTACTCACCCAAGTCAGTTTCCATCTTGCCGTAAATGGGCGGCTTCACGTCAATCGGTATGTTAAAGGTAATTGGGTTGTAGCCCATGTTGACGCTAAACTGCCGCATAAACTGCTCAAAGTAATTGAGCACTGCACGTTGCATGTACACTGCAAAGATAAAGTTGGAGTTGTCCGGGTAGAGACGAATCTTGCTGTGCTCAATGTCAATCTCATCCACCTCACTACGGTACACGTCAATGTAGCGACCTGTGAATGCCTCGGTAAAGTTGTCCGAAAAGATCATTGCATAGTACGATTGACCTCGTTTCACCGAGTCTATTGCCAAGGATTTGGTCGGAAAGACTGAGGTCTTAAGGAAGTAACTGTCCAGATTTTCTAAAAGTACAAAGCGATTGTTTTAGGGTGTTAGAAAGATGCAAGTCCTACTGACCAATAAAAGTTCTCGAGAGGTTTCCTCCTGTCCTATCGCCAGGATAGACGGCCAGTGGCATGTTGTGTGGACTTCGCAGAAATGTCAACGTAAAGAGTGTGATCGTTATGATGGGAATGGCGTGAAACATGACCAGGCCCAAGGGATTCCGTTTCACTCGAATGTAGCTCTTCCAAATCACCGCTTTCAGTCGCTCCTTGTCCACTTCTTTTCTCAAGCGCTCTCGAAGGGTAATCTCCTCTGCCTCTGCCTCCTCAAGCAGTGCCGTCTCTGAACAGACAACTCCTCTTTCTAGCTGAACATGTAACAGCAAGATATTTAGTACACTTTGGCAGTGATGACAATGCTTACCATTGGGGACAGTTGTTGATTTGCACTATTGCTCTCTTGTGGTGAGTACTTGTGAATGCACAGCTTGAGAAAGACTTCTTCCAGTGTCGAGCACTGGTATCTCTCCTGCATCTGTGCTGGCGTCGACTGCGCCAGAATGGTTCCCGACTCGATGAATGCCACATTGTGCGATTCTTTGGCTTCTTCAATGTAGTGCGTTGTGATGATCACCGTAGTGCCCTCGGTTTTGCAAAGTCCCTCGAGGTAGTTCCAAATTCGGTAGCGCAGAACACTGTCCACACCGACTGTCGGCTCATCGAGGATGGTCAGCGGTGGCTGGTGAACGAGTGTGACCGCCAGCGAGACCAGCCGCTTCTGACCACCACTCAGCTGGCGCACCAGTCGTTCTCGGTCTGGCAGGTTCAGCAGATCGACTAGTTTGTTGATGCGATCATTGATCACCTTCTCGGGCATGTGGTAAATGGCACCAAAGTAGCGTAACGTCTCGTCGATGGAAAACTCAGGAATGAGGGAAATCTCCTGGGGCATATACCTGCAGAAAAGTGGGTGGAGTATTTAATCAAACAGTTCACATAAAAAGAACAACACCAGCACTTACCCCACACCTGGGCCCGGTATGCGAGAGTGCCTGCTGCCTGGCTCAATTCCAAACACTCGAATGGTGCCTTGTCTGGGCTTTATGCGGCCCAATATCATCCGCAACATGGTAGTTTTTCCGCATCCATTTGACCCAAGAAGAGAGAATATTTTACCTGTAAATGTAAATGTAATTCAATAAAAACAATTTGCATTGTTACGCCAGAAGTGCCCATTATTCTCTTTTGTTTTATTTTTTGACTATAGTTATTCTTTACTATCCTAGGGCACAAAATGTTGTCAAAATTGTTTTCTCTTTAATTGCCAGAAATTAAATGCTTTTTGCAAAAGTATTGCCAAGTCGAGTTTTTAATCGATTGCCAAAAGTAGTGAAACACTTTCAGGTCAAAATGTGAAGAAAACAAAAATGGCAGATAAATATTTTTTTTACCTTTAGTTGCAATTGACCGTTTGGCAATAAAACAAAACTATTTATCTTTGATTGACATCAACTGTAGCCCATTTTGAACTCACCTTCAGGAACGTAAAGTGTAATGTTTTTGAGTATTGGCTTGTTTTTCTTGTATGAAAATGCAACATTTTCGATTTTAACAGCCAATTGTTTTCGGTTTTTCTGCAACGCAGAGCTCACCATGCTCTCTTGTGGGTCGATTCGATGTTCTTCAAGGCTTTTTGCAAGCTCTTTCAACTTGAGCAGTTTAGGGGGCAGGACTTCTTTTGGGTGATCTCCTTCAGCGTTGCCCTCTGACTGGTCTCCATCGATGTCAATGTCGTAGAATGTTGGCGTNTTCAAGGCTTTTTGCAATCTCTTTCAACTTGAGCAGTTTAGGTGGCAGGACTTCTTTTGGGTGATCTCCTTCAGCTTTGCCCTCTGACTGGTCTCCATCGATGTCAATGTCGTAGAATGTTGGCGTTTTACTGCTAGCCATGTCTATGCTGGCCTGTTATGCAAGTGGGTTTAGTTAAAAGACTAAAATAAACGGTGAAAGTGCTTTTGAGATGTGTAGCGGTGGTAAGTGGTCGATTGGGCGCACATCATCGGTGATTAGCTGTTGAGGTGCAGTGATGCATTGCACTTGGCACGTTGATTCGACTCGGACCAGTGATTCGTTTGCCGCAGACTGGGCCTTTTTGGTAACTATGTTGCAGCAGCAGCAACAGTATTATTAAATGGCAAAAAATGATTGGAAGAATTCTCGTGAAGGTGAGTTGTATCTGTAGTAAGTCTGATGGTGAAGCAACAGTCAATGGTGTTTATTGGAAAAGATTTGGGCACCTGACGTCAAACTGGTGAGGGGTAAAGGGAAGCACAGCTCGGATCAGCACTTGTCAACTATTCAAATGATGATTCACGTCTGTTAATGCTGTAGACCAGTTAAGCTCGAGAGTTGACTCACTCCATCTTCTGCTCGTATTAAACCGACTGACTCTTCTCGTTGGCTCTCTCTCCGGCGACTGTTCTATTGTTGTCTTCGTTATCGTTGGCTTGTCACCTTCACTGGGCGCACTTGAATTGAAGCGCACTCACTTTAGCGCACTAATCGCCAGCCAATCATTAGACTGCAGTCGTGTGCCAATCAATTTAGTATTATTAATACGCAAAACAGCGTCACACCGGATGACCTCAGTTTAGCCGGCTCGACCTGAAGGCCAAGTCGAGGTTAATGGCGCTTTATATGGCAGTGATGGCCTCACTGATGCTTCATTCATTCGTTTTCACTCTGCTCATTTTAGAAATTCTATGTTGAGGATTCTTTTGTAGAATTTAGTTGGGATGTAAAGAATTTAAAGTTACAGTTGGATGAAAATGCAGACAATTTTTTATTTAAACAAAGTTGTTGATGAAACAGTACTTGAAATTAACTATAGTTGAAACACAGAAAAACTTTTAACAGGGTAGTGAAAAGTGTTAAAATGACCCGGAAGTTGACTTAATGGTCATTTTGAAAAAAAAAGTTAACTGCGGTGGTTGTTGGAACACGGGCAGATATTGTCGACGAGGCTGGCTTGTGACTGGCCCAACTCTTGCCCACTACCACTCTATTCCATTTCACTTGATACACTATGAACTCTCACTTTCTGACTCTTTTGACTTTTTTCTCTCTTTCTCTCTTTTTGGAAGCAACCTCGTGGACGGCGCGCCATGTCCCTTCATTATAATTAGCTGCATTTTGCTCTGTTCCCTTTCATTTTCACTTGGAGCAAATCACATTGCGCGCGTCTCACTTTCTCTGCGCGGTGATCACCACGCGATGCCCCGACTGTAATCAAAATGGTCGCTGTGCCTGCACAACTGACCGCGTTTGCCGTCTTCACGATTACATCGCTCTCTGCACTACAGCACTGCTGGACGTGCAGTGTCTTCATGAGAAAGAGCAACTGTTGCCGTTCACTGTCCACTGTTTTTAACGGCCAATGGCGGCACTTTCTTTCTCTCTTTCTTCTTTTCTAGGTCAGGCCATTTGCACTCTTCCCGTGTCTTCACATCGCACATGTCTTCAAATTAAATCGGCAACGTACATCGAAAAAAATGTGCCACAAAATGAGTTACACTTTCCGGAGATTGAGAAACACACCTTCAAGGCATATAACTCAGGATGCAAATGACAACAGATATGTCACAAATGATTCATGTTATGCTAGAATATCTTTCTTTTGACAATTATTTAAACTTGATTTTACTTGTTCAAACTAAATGTAAACAATTGACTTGGTGGCTGCACAAAGGAAAACAATATGATTCTCCCTTAAGCTTCAAGTTAGTCCATTTGAAAACAGTCAGTTGAATAGTCTCATTAATTGCCACTTTTTAAAACTATCAATTAAATTACTGGCGCAATGCGACTGCATCAAGAAAACTCTGAGGGGAAGGAGGGAACGCTCGCCGCAATCTTCAGTGATCGACCCACACAGTTAATTACCCGAGTTTTGAAACACTGACACCCGAGAAAAATGTACAAATCACAGCCTTTTGTGTGTTTGAAAAGTAGCAGCAGAAGTTGTGTTCAGTTGCAAAATTGCAGTTCTCCTTGCGCACTTGATGCCACTGGCAAATCAGTTGAATGGGCTGCATCGATTGCATTGACCATGGCAGTGTGGCGTGCAGTATGCTTTGTTTGATATTGTTTTCTTATTTTCCCTTCTAATGACATCGGTAGGATTGTATTGACTTTTTGCTGCACAAGGTGCCAAGGCTTCGACAGTCATCACTCATCTTTCATCATCCTACTCATTCAAAACAGGCCACATTTGTTGAACGCCGATTCTGCTTTGGTTTTAATGATTTATAAAATATGTACACGACAACCAGTGAAAAAAAGAGATTATTACTTGGATGTCAACTGAAAGGCAACAACATTGGCTACCAGCAAAACACTGTTGTAGAGCAAACTGGTAAAGTAGCCTAGCTGAACGCTTGCCTGCTCGTAAGACCAGCCTCTCTTTACAATCTGGTCAATACTTCGAATCGGATAGGAGAGAGGCATCAGCCAGAAAATGCGTTGCAGTGGCTCCCCAATGGACTCTAGTGGCCAGAAGACGCCGCACATCATCCAGATGGGAAATACCATGCCAAGTGACAATACCTAGAGTGCAACAATAGTATATAAACGCCATTTACAAGTAATAAGGTAAGTGCTTACCAGAGCCACCGTTTCATTTGGTGAAATCGAGGAAATGAGCATGCCGATGAGAACGCCGCATAGGCCGCAGAGGTAGAGCATTACAAAGACCTCTATAAAAGGCCCCTGAATTTGCAGTTCAAAGATGAGGTGAGCGACGGCAAGGACCAGTGACACCTGAACCACCAGGCCAATCACCAGGATTAGCAAGTGTGTGAGAAAGACTTCAATCGACTTGGCGCCGCTCACAAAGGTGCGCTCAATGATGCCGCCCTTTCGCTCGAGGACCACCAAAAAGGAGGAGAGAATGAGTGGTGCAGTGTAGATGATGGCCACCAGAGAGCCTGGCGTCAGGTTGTTGAGAAAGTCATAGCCTGAGTGCTTTGCAGGGTCATACGGTCCGTGTACCACTTCAGTCAGGTAGATNAAGGTGCGCTCAATGATGCCGCCCTTTCGCTCGAGGACCACCAAAAAAGAGGAGAGAATGAGCGGTGCAGTGTAAATGATGGCCACCAGAGAGCCTGGCGTCAGGTTGTTGAGAAAGTCATAGCCAGAGTGCTTTGCAGGGTCATACGGTCCGTGTACCACTTCAGTCAGGTAGATGGGCAGTCGGACGGTCTCCTTGTGAAAGCCAAATGACTCCGCCACACTCTCAACAAACTGCTGGTACGAGTGTATCAGCGAGTTGTAGATGGTCATCAGCATATAGGAGTCAGAGTGGTCGACGAAAAGCTTAATCTTCGAGGCCTCAAAGGAGGACTGACTAAGCTCGGAGGGGTTGCGAGCTCGTCTCTGATAGGCTCGAGTGAAATTGGAGCCGATAGCGACTGCATACCACGCCCTTCCATCAACCACCGTCTGAATGGCCTCTTCCTGACTTTTGTAGTATTGCACCTGTCGTAATTAAAGTCGTTAGTTTAACTCAATCAAGCATTTCGGTCCAGCTAGCACTTACATCAAGTAGGTTTCTGTCCAGTGAGTTGAGAAACTGTTTCGACAAGCCTGAATTGCCTTTGCCATCTTCGCCATTGTACACTGAAATCTGCAAGTTGTCTGGGTTTTTGAAAACTGAGTAGCAAAAGAGGGTAATTTGAATCACAGGAAGAACAAGGAAAAAGAGCACCACGTAGGGGTTGCGTTTCAAATTGAGTACGTTTTTGAAGATGAGTGCTCTCATTCTCAGCATGTCTAAGAGAGGGCCTGCCTTGCTCTGGCCGTCATTTGTAGGCCAGGCGTCAAAGCTAGAGCTTTCAATTTCCTCCACAACGCTATCAGAAGCAGCAACGGCTGCCAAAGTAGGCTCGCCATTTGGTCTTTTCTTTTTGATTGAGTACTTTTCTTTTATATCACCACAGTCTTGCTGACACAAACGCAGAAAGACGTCCTCCAGAATGGTGCAGTTGAAGGCGGCGAGAAGAGTGTCCGGAGAGTCCTGTGCCAGGATTCGACCGAATCTCATGAAGGCCAAACTGTCGGCGCCCCGTGACTCCTCAATGTAGTGAGTAGTAATGATGATGGTCATGTTTTGCGTCTGACAGAGGTATTCCAAGTACTGCCAGATTTTGCAGCGCAGAAGAGGATCAACGCCGACCTGTAAAAGGAAAAAACAAAATTAGAATTGGAAGTTACTTTCAATCAAAACATTGTTTACCGTCGGCTCATCCAAAATGAGCAGTGGTGGATCGTGAAAGAGTGTGACAGCTATGGAGGCTCTGCGCTGCTGTCCACCGCTGCACATACTTATTTGACGTTCCTTTGGCGGCAGGTTCAGTAGCTCAATCATAAAGTCAGTCTTTCGGCGAACTTCGTGCTTGTCCATGTGCAACAGCATTCCGTAGTACTGAAGTGTCTCCTTTATGGTAAAATTTGGAAACAGGGCCAACTCCTGCGGCATATAGCCGTACACCGGTATTTTACCCTGATCACTGCCTGGCTTCCTTCCGAACACCTGAATCAGGCCTTTTCGTTGTTGTATTCGACCCAAAATGAGCCGCAGTAAGGTGGTCTTGCCACA